GCGCGCGGGAGCCCCGTTCCTCTGCGCTTCTCTCCTGCAGCTTCTGCGGGTCTCAGTGTGCCTTTCCTTCCTTCTAGTTGTAGAGTTTACAGTCAGCCAGGCTTCCTGTGGTTCTGGATGAAGTCCGTATTGTTTCTCTGAGGTATTAATCAATTGTTGTGTGCGGCATTAATTTCCCGGTGTTTATCTATGCCGCCATCTTAGTTTCTCCCACATCCTTCATTTCCTATATCTTACCATTTTGTCTATTCTACCTCAATAAGCTGAAAAAACTGAGGGGTCCCAGACTGCGAGAGGGCACAGGCCAGGCTGAGGGGACCCCCCTCCCCCCGAGTGCACAAACTTTTGTGCACTGGGCCTCTAGTTTATTTATTAAAAAAGTTCCTTCGTTTTGATGTATGTACATATGTGCTTTATGTTTTTTATTATCTACCACAAGTAAAGGTCAGGAATTGTTATCTTTTTAAAAAATTTTTTTTACTGTTTCACTTCATTACTGGTGTGTTTGCGCTCCATGTGAGTGACGTAGGTGCTTATGTAGTCAGGTTCCAACTTACAGTGAAAATTGCGTTACGTCGCGCCATAGGAATGTATCTCTGACGTAACCCGAGGACCTATTGTACTGTTGTCTCCAGCATTCACAGCCTATCAGATATTCTTCCAGCTTGGACCTACTCTGCTAAATAAGGATATCAGAGGCCACATCCATGTGTGTTAGGTTTGGCTATAAAATGCTAGATGCATGTGAACACTCGAGAGGTCCCCAAAGAACACTGGTCAGGAGCGTGGTAAGGCCTCAGAGAATCTCTGCTCAACACTCATAATATTCTAAACAAAATATTTAAGACACTTTGGATCAGTCAAAATGCTGTGTGTCGAGTATGTTTCCCTCCACGTCCCGCATGGATTAGGGTTCTGGATCTGAAAGAGGAGCCACACACAAATAAGAGAGAAAAGAGACAAGAGACAATTTGGAAATGTTGGGGAGCCAGGCGGGCAAGTCCAGCTCAAGGAGAGGAACTTCCCCCAATGCTCAGGCTGCTCCAACCTTTTATTTGATCTGGGGTAGCCCTAGGGTAAGGAAGTGTATCTGGGGTAGCCCTAGGGTAAGGAGGTTTCAATGACACACAGATACTGTCATGATTAAAGGTAGGGAGGTTGCTTCAGCTATTTACATGAATAAAGTTAGGGAGGTTGCTTCAGCTACCATTATCTAGATTAACTGGGTGGTGCACAGCCCTGACCTTTCCTAGGGCTTCAAGGTTACTAACTTTTGGGGGTCTCTGTCTATACTCAGCTTGTGAAGACAATAAATGGACTTCGGCATCAGCTGTGGTTATTGAAAGTTATTCAAAGACAGTTCTTGTGTTCAGGTTATTAAAATATACTGGGAAATGGCAATCTATTTATATAAAAACCCTGGGTATAATGCCCGTCACGTCCAAGGCTTGACTAACCAGAAGGAAGTCAGTCCTGCAGGCGGTGCCTTGGCAATGGCTGCGCCCTCCCTGAGCTGCTTCCCGCAAGGGGGAGGTTTGAGGCAGGAACCCACCCTAAGAGCATGGAGCACTGTATCCTGGGTCGCCTTGCCAAGGGCTGTGCTCTCCCAGAGCTGTTTCCCTTGAGGGTGGGGTTTGAGGCAGGAACCCGCCCTCAGAATGTGGACACACTGAGTCCTGGGTCTCCTTGCCAAGGACTGTGCCCTCCCTGAGCTGTTTCCTGTGAGGCCTGAGGGAAGAACCCACCCTCGGAGCACCAGGAGTGCCTAGCGGCAGTCAGTTCTGGGTTGCTGAGGCGGAGGGCACAGCGTGGTAGAATTCTGGGTCTGGCCCAGCAGGGGGCGTGGTCAGCCTTCAAACCAGACCCTGACAGTAGGGAGGAGGGAGCCCCATTCCTCTCAGAATCTGCTGTTGGTTAGCTTGCAGTCAGTGGCCTGCCAGCCAGGAACCCCATTCTCCTACACCCCGGACCCTGACAGGAGGGAGGAGGGAGCCCCATTCCTCACAGAATCCACAGGTGGCCAGCTTGCTGTCAGGGGCCTGCCAGCTAGGAATCCTATTCACCTGCATATCTGTATAAAGTTTTAATACATTATATTAGAGGTCGTGGTGTTACTGTTTTACCCACAGAGTCTAAAGGAATTGCTGCAAATTTACTTCTCAGTGGAAGCACCTTTCATTCCCAATATAAATTACAG